CTAGCCTTAGGACCCTTACTGGATACAGACGCCCCAGGCAGGAATCGAACTTGCGATCCTCTGCTCCAAAGGCGTGTAGTCTAACCACTACGCTATCCAGCTATATGTGTATATATATATATATATACATACATATATATATATATATATACATATATATATACATACATACATACATACATACATACATACATAGATAGATAGATAGATAGATAGATAGATAGATAGATAGATAGATTTGTCGTTAAAGGAAAGAGCCAGAAAACTCATAAATGTATACAAAGCCAAAGTAAATAGTGCCCAGGGAGTGAGTGCTTTGGTGGAATTTTGCATTCTTGGAGTATTAACCTTCACTTCCACAGGGTGTCTTTGGTCCTGTCTCCCTCTCCTCAAACCAAACTGGCCACCCCCTCCATGAGGGAGGTTTCTTCCTTTTAAAAGGGAGTTTTACCTTCCCACGGTTGCCAAGTGCTTGATCTTTGGGGCTCCTGTATTATTGTAGGGTCTCTGTTGCACATTGTAAAGGGTCTTGAGGCGAATCTAGTTTGATGTATAAATAAAACTGAACTGAACTGAATTCTTAGATTAAAGTTCTGACCTGGAAGATGACATGTCTGTTGAAAATGTGACTCTGGCTTGTTGTACACTTTAATAAAGAAGCATTGTTTGTCTTTTTTTTTATTACAAAATATTGCACGTTTTAAAGTCTTGCCCTTAAAAAAAAGAGGCAACAACAAAAGCTAAGAGAGGGTTGTAATTCATTCAGCAAGTCCCTGTGCTGGTCTGTACTCTGCCCACAGTCCAAAGACATGATTTACTCATAAATATCTACATTTCATAGATATTAATGTGAATGTAAATAACAGTTTGTCCTTATTTGTCAGCCCTGTGATCAATCCTCAGGCCTCTTATGCATTAACAGTTGGGCTAAGCTCAGTGACACTCAGGTGCTGGAGCTTGTACAAGCGGTAAAGAAAATGAATGGAAGGATGTAACCTGTGTAAACATTATCATGCACCCTAGACTTGAATCAGGCTGCAGGTTAAATACTGTGGGGAGTGTGCGGACTGCATGTGTGTGTTGATACTCAGAACAGGTGTAATACAGTTATTCACAATAAAGTTCGAGCTGGTCAAGCAAATAATGGGATGAGAAAAATGGCAAAATGAGATGGTCAATGAAACTACGGGAGAATTTAGACATTTAGAGGGTTGGCAGATATATTGGAGACATACAAGAGAGTTAAGCAGAAAAAGTTCCTCATCTAGAAATCGATTTCTAGATGAAGCTCGAACAGATATGTCCCAAGTAAAACACCAATCAATTTCAATGCAAACCTCACAGATGTCTTTCAGGTGCTTGATGTAGTCTCTCTCTGTGCTCATAATCTCATTGATGACATTTGTTCTCATCTGCTCTTTGCAGGGTAAACCAGGTCCCAGCAACAGGCCCAGACTTGCCCGGTCCTCTTCTCCAGCCTGAGCCTCCTCTAGGTGGGCCAGATACTCGTCCATGGGTTCGTCCTGGTTCACACGCAACTGGAGAATGCAGGCAGTGTTAAAAGTATGCAATGACTCTAAGTGGCTCAAATAATAACCCTGTCTTTCAATGTCATCTTTTTCTTCACAGATGCCAAAGTTTAGTAGCAGTTTGATGTCTTTTGATATATATCTCGTATATCCTTACCTGGATGATTGAACATGCACCAGAGTACAGTCAGAACAGAGTTTCTCACCCGTACAAAGCTGGCAGGGAACCAGCCCTCACTGTCCATGATGCGACCCCACCACCACTCTTTGTTAGTTGCATCCACTACTTCAATGACATCACCGGCCTTGAAACCTAACTCCTGGTCATCCATGGTAACATGGTCCCAGAGCCCCTCTGCATACACCACACTGCCATCACTGATGAGCTGCAGAGAAACAACAACAGGAGGGACTGTGGTCACATACAATCAACTTCTGGTTGGGACTGCAGTAGAGTCATGGTATACAGGATTAATGTAAGAACTCTTTCAGCCTTCTAGCCAGGTACAGGTGTGGTCTGAAGCTTGCATACACGCTTCATGGGCATGAATGTTGTGGTCATTTTGGGCATTGATTTCTTTTAACTGTTCCTTTTCTTAGGGTGAAATGAGTGTACACATCTTTACTATATCCTGGGTCTGTTTACTCAGTGAGTTTAAACTTTTTGGATTGTAGTTTTTCTTTTCTTTAAATCTCTTATTCTTGGTTTTCCTAGGGTTTGTATTTTTCCATGTACTTTTTCAGTTTCCTGTTTCTGGAATCGGATCTACTTTAGGCACTCATGTAATTAACACTCATCTTTACGGACACCTCCATGCATTTGAGTCCGCACGCTTCCACCACACTCTGCACAGCAGAATTTCAAGTTTTAATATATTTTTGAATTTTTTTCTAATTCACACAGGGTCAAAAGTCTACATACAGCCCTACTAATATCTGGTAAAATATCTCTTAGTAAGGTGCACCTCAACCAGATACTTTAGATATGCCTGAATGTTGTTGATGGCTAAGTCTGGCTGTATATTTGTCCACTCTTCTTAGCATAAGTGCTAGAGTTCACTTAAATTAATTGGTTTCCTGGTATGGCCCTGGCTTTAAGCACAGTCTACAAACTTTCAAAAGGATTAAAGTCAAGGCTTTGGAACGGCCAGAATTAATGGGCCATTTCTAAACAGCTGCAGATTCCAGGATTCAATTTCAGCTCAATTTTATTTATATACAGTGGGGCAAAAAAGTATTTAGTCAGCCACCGATTGTGCAAGTTCCCCCACCTAAAATGATGACAGAGGTCAGTAATTTGCACCAGAGGTACAC